TGAAGGATCTGGAGAAGGTCTGTATGGAGGAGTGGGCCAAAATCCCTGCTGCAGTGTGTTCAAACCTGGTCAAGACCTACAGCAAACGTATGATCTCTGTAATTGCAAACAAAGGTTTCTGTACCAAATATTAAGTTCTGCTTTTCTGATGTATCAAATACTTATGTCATGCAATAAAATACAAATTAATTACTTAAAAATCATATAATGTGATTTTCTGGATTTTTGTTTTAGATTCCGTCTCTCACAGTTGAAGTGTACCTATGATAAAAATTACAGACCTCTACATGCTTTGTAAGTAGGAAAACCTGCAAAATCGGCAGTGTATCAAATACTTGTTCTCCCCACTGTATATGTGACGTATAGGTCATATCCAAAGTCATTTTATTCTTAAATAATAATACATGTATACATTAAACTCTGACTATAGCAACAGAATCTATTAGTATGATCGCCTAGAAATAGGCCTACAGCACAAAATACATGAAATACAGGGTTACTAAAAGTCGGTATTCTTTTTCATACAATTTATTTTCCTGCTGCGTTACACCATACAAAACAATATTTTCATCTTCAGTTCCAGGCATACATTTTTTTTTTTTTTTTTTTTTTTTTCATGTTCCTTGGAAGCTCTAGCTCATACATAATCCCTATCACAGGACATAAATTTTTTTAGTTGACATACACATCCACAATTACATTTGATATAGGCCTGAGCTGTGGCATAACACAGATCAGATCAATTACTCATGGTCACAGAACATGTTGCACAATACTCTCAGGAGGGCATGCCAAGGGAGAAGGAGAGCAGGTCAAATTGGCCTACGGGTATTCTTTCCATACACACTTAGAAGATCCCCGGATATACTTCAGAATTTGGACTATCCCAATGTTGCCGCTCCCATCCACCCTGCGCATGCCAACCTTCTGATGGTAATGCAAATCTGTAGAACAACAAGAACAGCCAGGTTAAATAATGAAGGCCACACCCTAAATTACAATCAACAATCTCACACACCTGGCACTGACACAGGCACAAGGCTGCATTCACCAACTCAACAGTTCCACCCTGTTACATATTTCCCCTCTATTTTTGAAATGTGTCCTCACATTCAACCAAGAAAGTTAAAAGTTTGCCACGCTGACCCTCAACACAGGGACCCCTCAGGGGTGCATGCTTACTCCCCTCCTGTACTCCCTGTTCACCCACGATCACGTGGCCGCGTACAACTTCAACACCATCATTACGTTTGCTGAGACCGCCTATAGAGAGGAGGTCAGTGACCTGGAAGTGTGGTGCCAGGACAACAACCTCTCCCTCAACGTCAGCAAGACAAAGGAGCTGATCGTGGACTACAGGAAACGGAGGGCCGAGCACGCCCCTATCCACATCGATGGGGCTGTAGTGGAGCAGGATGAGAGCTTCAAGTTCCTTAGTGTCCACATCACTAAGGAATTAACATGGTCCACACAAACCCACACATTTGTGAAAACTGTATGACAACGCCTCTTCCCCCTCAGGAGGCTGAAAATATTTAGCATGGGCCCTCAGATCCTCAAAAGGTTCTACAGCTACACGATTAAAGGCATCTTGACTGGCTGCATCACTGCTTGGTATGGCAACTGCTTGGCATCCAATTGCAAGGCGCTACAGAGGGTACTGCGTACGGCCCAGTAACTCTACCCACATGTACATATTACCTCAACTAGCCAGTGCCCCCGCACATTGACTCTGCAACGGTACCCCCCTGTATATATAGCCTCCCTACTGTCACTTTATTTTACTTCTGCTCTTTTTTTTCTCAACACTTTTTTTGTTGTTGTTTTATTTTTACTTTTTTTGTTTAAAATAAATGCACTGTTGGTTAAGGGCTGTAAGTAAGCATTTCACTGTAATGTCTGCACCTGTTGTATTCGGCGCATGTGACCAATAAAATTTGATTTGATTTGATTTTATCACTGGGGCTGAGCTCCCTGCCATCCAGGACCTCTATACCAGGCGGTGTCAGAGGAAAACATTTGTCAAAGACTCCAGCCACCCAAGTCACAGACTGTTCTCTCTGCTACCGCATGGCAAGCGGTACCGATGCACCAAGTCTGGAACCAACAGGATCCTGAACAGCTTCTACCCCCAAGCCATAAGACTACTAAATAGTTAACCAAATAGCTACCCTCTTTGCACTAACTCTTTTGAATCATCACATATGCTGCTGCTACTGTTTATTATCTATCCTGTATCACTTTACCCCTACCTATATGTACATACAGATGAAGTCGGAAGTTTACATACACTTAGGTTGGAGTCATTAAAACTCATTTTTCAACCACTCCACAAATTTCTTGTTAACAAACTATAGTTTGGGCAAGTCGGTCAGGACATCTACTTTGTGGATGACACAAGTAATTTTCCCAACAATTTTTTACAGACAGATTATTTCACTTATAATTGACTGTATTACAATTCCAGTAGGTCAGAAGTTTACATACACTCAGTTGACTGTGCCTTTAAACAGCTTGGAAAATTTGCTTGACATAATGGAAAATCAAAAGAAATCAGCCAACACCTCAGAAAAACAATTGTAGACCTCCACAAGTCTGGATCATCCTTGGGAGCAATTTCCAAACGCCTGAAGGTACCACGTTTATCTGTACAAACAATAGTATGCAAGTATAAACACAATGGGACCACGCAGCCATCATACCGCTCAGGAAGGAGATGTGTTCTGTCTCCTAGAGATGAACGTACTTTGGTGCGAAAAGTGCAAATCAATCCCAGAACAACAGAAAAAGACCTTGTGAAGATGCTGGAGGAAACAGGTACAAAAGTATCTATATCCACAGTAAAACAAGTCCTATATCGACATAACCTGAAAGGCCGCTCAGCAAGGAAGAAGACACAGCTCAAAACCGCCATAAAAAGGCCAGACTACGGTTTGCAAATGCACATGGGGACAAAGATCGTACTTTTTGGAGAAATGTCCTCTGGTCTAATGAAACAAAAATAGAACTGTTTGGCCATAATGACCATCGTAATGACCATCGCCGTAAGTCGCTCTGGATAAGAGCGTCTGCTAAATGGGTGTTGCTTGCAAGCCGAAGAACACCATCCCAACCGGGAAGCACGGGGTGGCATCATCATGCTGTGGGGGTGCTTTGCTGCAGGAGGGACTGGTGCACTTCACAAAATAGATGGCATCATGAGGAAGGAAGATTATGTGGATATATTGACGCAACATCTCAAGACATCAGTCAAGAAGTTTAAGCTTGGTCGCAAATGGGTCTTCCAAATGGACAATGACCCCAAGCATACTTCCAAAGTTGTGGCAAAATGGCTTAAGGACAACAAAGTCAAACGAGGGCACTACGTTCATCCACCTCTGGCCTGCTAGCTCCCCTACATCTACAGAAGCACAGTTCCTGCTCAGCCCAGTCAAAGCTATTCGCTGCTCTGGCACCCCAATGGTGGAACAAGCTCTCCCACGACGCCAGGACAGCGGAGTCACTGACCACCTTCCGGAGACACTTGAAACCCTACCTCTTTAAGGAATACCTGTAATAGTATAAAGTAATCCTTCTTCCCCCACCCCCCATAAAAAATACAATTTTAAAAAAGGTGGTTGTCCCACTGGCTATCATAAGTTGAATGCACCAATTTGTAAGTCGCTCTGGATAAGAGCGTCTGCTAAATGATGTAAATGTAAAGGTATTGGAGTGGCCATCATAAAGCTCTGACCTCAATCCTATAGAACATTTGTGGGCAGAATTTAAAAAGCATGTGCGAGCAAGGAGGCCTACAAACCTGACTCAGTTACACCAGCTCTGTCAGGAGGAATGGGCCAAAATTCACCCAACTTATTGTGGGAAGCTTGTGGAAGGCTACCCGAAACGTTTGACCCAAGTTAAACAATTTAAAGGCAATGCTACCAAATACTAATTGAGTGTATGTAAACTTCTGACCCACTGGGAATGTGATGAAAGAAATAAAAGCTGAAATAAATCATTCTCTCTACTATTATTCTGACATTTCACATTCTTAAAATAAAGTGGTGATACTAACTGACCTAAGACTGGGAATTTGTACTAGGATTAAATGTCAGGAATTGTGAAGTTTTAATGTATTTGGCTAAGGTGTATGTAAACTTCCGACTTCAACTGTATCTACCTCAATTACCTCATACCCCTACACATCGACTCGGTACTGGTAACATGTGTATATAGCCAAGTTATCGTTACTCATTGTGTATTTATTCCTGGTGTTATAATTTTTTCTATTGTTTTCTCTCTGCATTGTTGGGAAGGGCCCGTAATTATGCATTTCACTGTAAGGCTACACCTGTTGTTTACGAAGCATGTGACGAATTACATTTGATTTGATTTGACCAGGAGACCATCATCACCATTCCCATTCTTTAACACAACACTTTGTGGCCCGTGGGCCACTTGTTGCCGATCCCTGCTGTAGAATGACAGGAACAGCCACTGGCACTGACAAAGGCACAAGGCTGCGTTCACCAACTCAACAGTGCCACCCTGTTACACATTTACCTTCCATGTGATGTGGTGGGAACCTGGGAATCTGTCCCTCAGTCACCTTACCACCCAGAGAGGAATGTATGTGGTTAGTCCTTACAGTAAAATCCATAGGCCACCTCTGTGAGTTCAATAGATACACAGTAAGTACAGTGCTGACATCTTCTGGGCATTGTGAGTAATCAAGGGAACCTACCGCATGAGGCTCCAACAGTTTTCCCTCCTAGAAAATATAAGTGTTTCTCAATCTCAACCCAGTCTTCAGTGACTACAAATCAGTAGTTTTACACATGTGGTCCATTCCAACACTAACACACCTGATTAAACTAGTCCAACTAATAATCAAGCTCATGTGATTAGTTGATCAGGTGTGATAGCGTTAGAATGGATCAAATATTGAGAACAGTGGCCTATAGTGGCCCTCATGTCCTGAGAATGTATTCCACCATCAGATGGGGTTAGCTAGTTAGTTAAGTGGCTAGCTGGGACAGTCTGACGTAGGGATCCTCCTTGCACTGCTCCCCCTGCCCCCTCTCTTTCCTCCAGGCTTGCTGCTCTTGACTGCCCCCTTTAGGAGGTCCAGAGGAAAGCACATGGCCCCAGCCCCCAAGTGCCTGTAGGGCTGGGAGGAAGCAGTACCCAGAGGTGTGTAGGGTAGGGCCCACTGGGGGCAAGTTGAAGGGGGTGGTGGTGGTGGGGGGCTTGTACGCTGGAGGAGGGTCTTCATTCTCACTTGGTAGTGAGCCGTTGGACGTAGAGCTAGGTCGGGGTGGGTGGAGCTCTGACTTGGGCCATGCCATGATGTTGTTGTTGCCGTAGTTGTTACCAGTGTTCTTACTGTAGTCTGCTACTACAGCTCTCGTAAGACCATCAGACACTTCTGTTGATCTGGACAGGCCAGCACTGACCTGAGGCATCGCCACGTAGCCCTCACTCGACTCCAAGAGGGATGGGGCAGTCCTCTCCGAGGAGGAGGGAGAAGGGGGTTCAGAGTTAGAGAGAGTGTTGTCGGACTCCTCACAGGGAGGCTCCAGACTCATAAACGCACTCGGCGCTGGTGAACTGTCACCACACAAGATATAAGGGCCACTGAAGCTGAAGCCAGATGAGTCTAGAGCAGGAGGGCAAGATCTGCCCACAGACAACAGATGTAGGGAGGAAGAGTTTGGGTCATACTTCTTCCACCCATCCTTGGTAATGGAATGGAACAGTCCATTGGCCTCTACATCTGGGGTCAACCACAATGGATTATCTGAAGAGCTGCAACACAACAGAGTGAGGTAAGGGTTAGGGCTGTTGTAATGGTTTGGGTTGAGGCTAGGGTTAGGGTTAGGGTTGAGCCAGGTCACTGTGTGTATGAGTTACATTTTATAAGTGTTGGACAGTGTAGGTTAGAAGTATGAAGATATGAGCCAGTTTTACCAGCTACAGCAGAGACTGATATCCTCCCTGCCCTCCAGTGTCTGTATGCTGCAGATATAGGTCTGCTCACTTCTCTCACTCTCGGGGAATAACAACCTATCAGGAGACTTCTGGGAAAGAGAGGACATACCATCATCTGTGAGTGATGAACTATGAAAGATGGATACATGCAGGCAAGTGCACAGATAGGGGTCTACCTGTGCCCTCCCACTCCCCTTTTGGGTGGCAGTATATATATGTTTGTATACAGTTTTAGTCGTTGTTGTTCTGAACCACGAAGCACATGGTCCCCATGTGTGCAACTTCTGTAAGCGCCTCTACTCTACTGCTCTGTTCCAAAACGCAAATGCGATGATATGCAATGCTTTATTATAAAGGTAAACTCTGTAAAAAAAAAAAATACAAACATTGAGCTAGCTAACTAGCAGATTTACATCAATCAACATTAATGATCAGCTGATAGCCCACCCTCTCTTCCTGATATCAGTCTTTTAGAGGCACTGTCACTAGCTTTCTTACAGTTTTTGATGAGTGAGTGTGTTGTTGCAGAAATAAATAGGCCAATGCTAAAACATGTTTAAATGTTTGCTACAGAGGCAGTTAGTATGTTATGAATTTCGAGATATGAATTGCCCTTTTTTTCATTTTGAGCACCTGCCCTCTGAAAGGTCTGTGCACAGCCCTGAATACATCCATTGTAATTTATAGTGGTTATGAAAAAAAATCTTTGTGCACAGTCTAGTCGATTTTAAAACTATCATTATTATTATTATTATTATTATTATTATTATTGAGTGCAGTTGTCATATATTCAATAGCTGAATAGTCCACAGCGAGATGCTTTGTGAATAATGCTGGATGAATACTCAGTCATTCAGATGTATTCAGACGTACCTTAATGACCTCTTGCAGTACCTTGCTCTTGAGGGGCGACGGGACAGACAACTCCCACAGGACTACCCTCCTACAGCCAGAAAAGGAATGAATGAATCAATGGATGGATGAATGAATAGAATGACAGGTAACTGCCAAAATGAAGGAAACACCAACATAAAGTTTCTTAATAGGGTGTTGAGCCAGAGCCAGAACAGCTTCAATGCACCTTGGCATAGATTCTACAAGTGTCTGGAGCTCTATTGGAGGGATGCGACGCCATTCTTCCATGAGAAATTACATAATTTGGTGTTTTATTGATGGTGGTGGAAAACGCTGTCTCAGGTGCCGTCCCAGAATCTCCTATAAGTGTTCAATTGGGTTGAGATCTGGTGACTGAAACGGCCATGGCATATGGTTTACATTGTTTTCATGCTCATCAAACCATTCAGTGACCACTCATGGCCTGTGGATGGGGCATTGTCATCCTATGGGGGCATAGCTATGGCAGCCCAAATAATGGCCTGCCCAGCATTTTTATACATGACGCTACGCATGATGGGATGTTAATTGCTTAATTAACTCAGGAACCACACCTGTATGGAAGCACCGACTTTCAATAAACTTTGTATCCCTCATTTACTCAAGTGTTTCCATTATTTTGGCAGTTACCTGTAGTTTAACATTAGTAATAACACAAGGGCGAATTAAAATGGTAGAAAAACAATAAAAACACTTTGAGAAGTCTGAGCAATCACCTGTGACAGGCTGGTATGGTAACATAGAGAGCGATGAAGACAATGGCCACCAGTACACTGATGAAGACGTAGAGGAAGGTGGTGACGGACCAGGAAGCTACAAGGAGACATTGGACAAAACATGCATATGTAAGAGTGGAAAATGTAGTTGATGATCATTGATAAGTAATTGATTAGTAGTGTCTGGAAATTCCTGTCTGTCACATGAACTGATTGAGATGGTGGTTGCTTCAAGAGAACAAAGTCACATTTTATCAGCTCCTGTATGCTGTCTTCATCAAGTATAGTTTTAATTTCTTCTTCTTTCACTCTCAGAATCCTCCAAACGGCGTATTACACACATTTCAATATTATGGTAGTTCAATGATAAAACATCCAACTCATCCAAGTTCATTTTTCACATTAAAGCAAATATTGAGGCTTCACGTAAGACTAACACGTGGAAGCAAGAAACACTCTTCAATAAATAATGAAAGTGTTTACGTGTGTTTTTGAAAACATTCTTCAAGAGAGATGAACTTTGGTGCTTTTTCATTCAGCATCTCATGAATAGATAATCACATTATAGATTTTAGAGCTCCGCTGTCTTGACTCACAAGGCTGGCACAGCTAGATGAATTGTAAATAATAAAATATGGATCACTTCCCCCCATTTGTACTTGTTTTAGTCCAGACTGGTTATCTCTGATGATAAAATATGTTTTCAGAGTTACAGTTTTTCAACCACTCCACAAATTTCTTGTTAACAAACTTTAATTTTGGCAAGTCGGTTAGGACATCTACTTTGTGCATGACACAATACATTTTTACAACAATTGTTTACAGACAGATTATTTGACTTATAATTCACAGTATCACAATTCCAGTGGTTCAGAAGTTTATATACACTAAATTGACTGTGCCTTTAAACAGCTTGGAAAATTCAAAAAAATGATGTCATGAAGTTAGAAACTTCTTTTACATCATTTGAGTCAATTGGAGGTGTACCTGTGGATGTATTTCAAGGCCTACCTTCAAACTCAGTGCCTCTTTGCTTGACATCATGGGAAATTCAAAAGAAATCAGCCAAGACCTCAGAAAGAAAATTGCAGACCTCCACAAGTCTGGTTCATCCTTGGGAGCAATTTCCAAACGCCTGAAGGTACAACATTTATCTGTACAAACAATAGTATGCAAGTACAGTCGTGGTCAAAAGTTTTGAGAATGACACAAATAATACTTTTCACAAAGTCTGCTGCCTCAGTTTTTATGACGGAAATTTGCATATACTCCAGAATGTAATGAAGAGCGATCAGATGAATTGCAATTAATTGCAAAGTCCCTCTTTGCCATGAAAATGAACTTAATCTCAAAAAGACATTTCCACTGCATTTCAGCCCTGCCACAAAAGGACCAGCTGACAACATGTCAGTGATTCTCTCGTTAACACAGGTGAGAGTGTTGACGAGGACAAGGCTGGAGATCACGCTGTCATGCTGATTGAGTTAAAATAACAGACTGGAAGTTTTAAAAGGAGGGTGGTGCTTGAAATCATTGTTCTTCCTCTGTTAACCATGGTTACCTGCAAGGAAACACGTGCCATCATCATTGCTTTGCACAAAAAGGGCTTCACAGGCAAGGATATTGCTGCTAGTAAGATTGCACCTAAATCAACCATTTATCGGATCATCAGGAACTTCAAGGAGAGAGGTTCAATTGTTGTAAAGAAGGCTTCAGGACGCCCTAGAAAGTCCAGCAAGCGCCAGGACCGTCTCCTAAAGTTGATTCAGCTGCGGGATCGGGGCACCACCAGTGCAGAGCTTGCTCAGGAATGGCAACAGGCAGGTGTGAGTGCATCTGCACGCACAGTGAGGTGAAGACTTTTGGAGGATGGCCTGGTGTCAAGAAGGGCAGCGAGGAAGCTACTTCTCTCCAGGAAAAACATCAGGGACAGACTGATATTCTGTGAAATGTACAGGGATTGGACTGCTGAGGACTGGGGTAAAGTCATTTTCTCTGATGAATCCCCTTTCCGATTGTTTGGGGCATCCGGAAAAAAGCTTGTCCGGAGAAGACAAGGTGAGCGCTACCATCAGTCCTATGTCATGCCAACAGTAAAGTATTCTGAGACCATTCATGTGTGGGGTTGCTTCTCAGCCAAGGGAGTGGGCTCACTCACCATTTTGCCTAAGAACACAGCCATGAATGAAGAATGGTACCAACACATCCTCCGAGAGCAACTTTTCACAACCATCCAAGAACAGTTTGGTGACGAACAATGCCTTTTCCAGCATGATGGAGCACTTTACCATAAGGCAAAAGTGATAACTAAGTGGCTCGGGGAACACAACATCGACATTTTGGGTCCATGGCCAGGAAACTCCCCAGACCTTAATCCCATTGAGAACTTGTGGTCAATCCTCAAGAGGCGGGTGGACAAACAAAAACCCACAGATTCGGACAAACTCCAAGCATTGATTACGCAAGAATGGGCTGCCATCAGTCAGGATGTGGCCCAGAAGTTAATTGACAGCATGCCAGGGCGGATTGCAGAGGTCTTGAAAAAGAAGGGTCAACACTGCAAATATTGACTCTTTGCATAAACTTCATGTAATTGTCAATGAAAGCCTTTGACACTTATGGAATGCTTGTAATTATACTTCAGTATACCATAGTAACATCTGACAAAAATATCTAAAAACACTGCAGCAGCAAACTTTGTGAAGACCAATACTTGTGTCATTCTCAAAACTTTTGACCATGACTGTATAAACACCATGGGACCACGCAGCCATCATACCGCTCAGGAATGAGACACGTTCTGTCTCCTAGAGATGAACGTACTTTGGTGCAAAAGTGCAAATCAATCCCAGAACAACAGCAAAGGACGTTGTGAAGATGCTGGAGGAAATAGGTACAAAATTATCTATATCCACAGTACAACGAGTCCTATATCAACATAACCTGAAAGGCCGCTCAGCAAGGAAGAAGCCACTGCTCCAAAACCGCCATATAAAAGCCAGACTACGGTTTGCAACTGCACAAAGATCGTATTTATTGGAGAAATGTCCTCTGGTATGATGAAACAAAAATAGAACTGTTAACCCATAATGACCATCGTTATGTTTGGAGGAAAAAGGGGAACGCTTGCAAGCTGAAGAACACCATCCCAACCATGCAGCACGGGGGTGGCAGCATCATGCTGTGGGGGGTACTTTGCTGCAGGAGGGACTGGTGCACTTCACAAAATAGATGGCATAATGAGGAAGGAAAATTATGTGGATATATTGAAGCAACATCTCAAGACATACAGTGGGGAAAGAAAGTATTTAGTCAGCCACCAATTGTGCAAGTTCTCCCACTTAAAAAGATGAGAGAGGCCTGTAATTTTCATCAGAGGTACACGTCAACTATGACAGACAAATTGAGATTTTTTTCTCTCAAAAAAATCACATTGTAGGATTTTTAATGAATTTATTTGCAAATTATGGTGGAAAATAAGTATTTGGTCACCTACAAACAAGCAAGATTTCTGGCTCTCACAGACCTGTAACTTCTTCTTTAAGAGGCTCCTCTGTCCTCCACTCGTTACCTGTATTAATGGCACCTGTTTGAACTTGTTATCAGTATAAAAGACACCTGTCCACAACCTCAAACAGTCACACTGTCACGATCGTCTAATGAGGGAGACCAAGGCGCAGCGTTGCGAGTGAACATATTCTATTTAATAAATGCTCACATGAACAAAACAATAAACAACGAATGCGTGACGTCTATGGTACAACACGAACACACACGAACACTCTGACAGAATCACGCATCATTCCATGGAATCAGCAGGAGCGACCGCGCCAACAGCAGGTATGGAGGAACGTCTTCGTGGGCAGGAGGATTGGATTAACCAGGTCTGTCATGCCCTGGAGGGGGTGATGAACACTCTCCACCGATGGGAAACCAGCGGGGTACCCACGACCCCACCTACCGAACCATCCCCATCGGTCAGTCCTCCTGTCCCATCTCCGGAACCCAGTGGGATTCGGCTCTCGCTCCCGAGGGCGTACGACGGCTCCACTGCCGGGTGTCAAGGGTTCCTGCTGCAAGTGGAGCTCTACCTCGCCACCGTACACCCGGCGCCCTCGGGACACGAGAGCGTCTCAGCCCTCATCTCCTGTCTCACCGGCAAGGCGTTGGAGTGGGCCAACGCCGAATGGAGGAGAATGGACGCCGCTACCACTACCTATGCGAAGTTCTCCCGCCGCTTCCGTGCTGTGTTTGACCATCCACCAGAGGGGAAGGCGGCGGGGGAGCGTCTGTTCTACCTCCGACAGGGGATGAGGAGCGCCCAGGACTTTGCCTTGGAATTCCGGACTCTAGCGGCCGATGCAGGGTGGAATGAGCGGGCCCATATAGACCACTTCCGTTGCAGCCTCCGGGAGGACGTCCAGCGAGAGTTGGCATGCAGGGACACCTCGTTGACCTTTGACCAACTTGTCGACATGGCCATTCGGCTGGATACCCTGCTCGCCACCCGTGGACGTCCCGGGTGGGGTTCGCCCATTCCACTCTCCAGCACCTCCGAGCCGAGCCCTATGGAGCTCGGGGGTGCTGGCGCTAGAGAACGGAGGAGTAGGAACCCGAGGGGGGCCGTTCCCTGCACTAACTGTGGCCGTGGAGGGCACACCGCGGCTAGGTGTTGGGGAGGGTCCCCCGGTGGAGGAGAAGGCAGGTCACGCATTGGGGGGTCCCCCCAGGTGAGTAGGCGCCCTACTTACCCAGAGCTTTCTGTCGTGCACCTAACCTTGCCTGTTTGTTTTCCACAGGTTGCACCTCGTTCCCAGCATAAGGCGCTGGTAGATTCAGGCGCAGCTGGGAATTTTGTAGATCGCCAGTTTTGTATAGAGTTAGGGATTCCCCTCCTTCCAGTTGATAAGCCTTTCCCTGTTCATGCCCTAGATAGCCGTCCGTTAGGGTCTGGGTTGATTAGGGAGGTCACAGCGCCCCTTCAAATGATGGCGCAGGAGGGTCATGAGGAGATGATTCAGCTCTATCTGATTGACTCTCCTGCGTATCCGGTAGTGCTGGGCCTTCCCTGGTTGATGACCCATGACCCTACTAT